AGTACTTAGTTTCGTATTTTTAAACCTTGCTCCTACTATGACCAAAAGGACAGTCTATGCATTCCATGATTCCATACCACTTCTAGATGAGTTAAAACACTTATATTCCTAAGTTCTCTTCAAATAACTTAGTTCATCTACACCAACACGTGATTAAAAGAAACTACAGATACCTATTTGACAATTAAAGCTTTATTAAACTCCTACAAAATTTGCCCCTGATATTCGTACAAAGCACCAAAAAGAAAAACCTTTATACCACTTTTCTCAAAGTTCAAAGGAAAAATAGTTCTGGATATTCTATTCAGACCCATAACTCAGCATTAAAACTATCTTTTCTACAGAATATGGTAAAGAAAAGGACACATAATACAAAAAGACGAATGAAAATGCATTGAAATGTTAAAGTAAAAAGGAATATATTGTACTAGGAAACAAGTCTGTACAATTTGCTTATTTCCAGATATAATTATTCTCGCAGAAAACAGCAAAAGAATGCAAAGAATGTAGTACAACTTACTTTTCCTGTAACTTAACAAGTGACCTCGGCCTCTGATAACCATCCTCCTGTTGCAGCTTTGGGTTTCGTGCATTCCTTGATTCTGGCTTCCAGCTAGCCTTTAAGAGTGATTCGCCCAATAAGTGAGCAATATCTGTAGCCATTGTCTCGGCCTTCTTAATATATGGAAACCTTTCCTCCTCAAAGTGATTAGACAACCATAAGTACATAGACACTACTTGGTGCCTAGTCTCAAGATCCAAGAGCTCTGAATCACTACGAGCGGAACATTTGGGCATGCCCATTGCTATATTGACAGGAAGCTCTTGGGCATACGATGAAGCGAACCTCAGAAGATGGTACATTGCTTTTGGATCCCTAATGTTGCAAGGGGCAAAACAAAAATTGAAACGATCTTCCAGAGATAACCCCTGAACCTTCTCCAGCATATTAGCTATTTTCTTCACATGCTGGTGCTGGCACAAAAAGAAAGACCCATCTAATCGGCAATTCTCACCAAATTCCATTAGGAGCTGGGAAAATGTTACATTTGGAAGTTGCGCTCCAAATAGCTCGACTTGCTCGAAAAAGGGAAAAAGTCCTACTTTCTTAACATCGTCAAAAGGTTTTTTCAAACACTCTATTAAGTACTCCAAATCATCATGATGCAAAGTAGTAGTTAGTCCATCAGGATAGCGACTTCCTCTACGCCCAGCTCTTCCAGCAATCTGTTTCACCTGCGATGCTGGCACTGGAACCATTTTATCAC